GTATAGTCGCATTCATCATCATCGTTCTCATCGTCGTCATCATCATCATCATCATCGTCGTCGTCGCCTTCATTATTGTCCTCATTTTATCAGAGCCGCCATTTTCGTCATCCTCGTCATCATCATGATTCATCAGTCATCATCGCCATCATCATCGTCCTCATGGTCATCATCATCATCATCATTTACAATGTCGTACAGATGCAGAGATGCCGGTGATGCACTCCTACAACACGCCGGCAGTGCTTCGATACATGTGTGTAGACGCAGGTGCTTAGATTCAGGTAGTGTGTGGATACAGGTGTTGAGATACAGGCGAGGACACCAAAAAGACCCACCTACACAACAACAACTTCGACGTCTTTCTACGGCGCACTGGCCCGGCCGACGACTAAAAAAAGTGACCGCGAAGCTGTGGTAATATGCAAATCGTCCTGTGCCACGGGACGACCCTGCGCAGAGATCGCGCGGAAATACGGAGGCTCATGGGTGAAACCGTTGCGGAGATCACGAGTGTTGACTGCTCAAACAGAAGGCCGAACGCGAATTCTTGGGGACGTCAGCAAGCCCTTTGTGGAGATTGTGCATGTTGAGTGCCCGACCGGCAGGCGAAATGCGAGTTCTGATTCTGGTGATGCTGTTGAGCCCGGCCTTGAACCCTTTGCGGAGATTGCGCGCGTCGAGTTGCCAAAGTGCCAAGGTGGACGCCCAAAACGCGTAACTGTCACTGACGCTGATCGCTGGCAAAACTTAGCAGCGCAAACGTAGCGCGAGAAGTTGTGTCTGGAAGCGCAGGCTCGCGGCTGGACAGTTTGTAGTACAATGTATAGCGCAGGAAGCAGGCCTCTCAACTGGCACCTTTGTAGTGCCGGAAGTAGCTTCTGGCTGGGCGGAGAAGTGGCAACTTCTGCTCAACTGGCAACGTTGTGTGGCTTTGTGGAACCCTGGCTCTGGGCTGCGTGCATCTAGTGTGTGACACATAGTGTGGCAATTATGTCTGCGATGTCGCTGTGCCACGCGGTTTTACGCGGCCTCGGTGGAAAGTGAGTTTGCGTGGCTCCACGCCATTGGGAAGAGCGTGCGTGCGAAAACGCGGCTTGACGCCTAGGGGCGGGATGCGGATGAGAAACGAAACACGTAGAGGTGGCGTGTCACTGGCGAGCGGGGTGGGTGTCCTACAGGAGTGTTGGATAAGAATGTTTGACAGAGTGTCCCACGAGAGCGCTGCGCGCCACAAACGTCAAGCAAGAGTGTTTTCAAGAGCCCCACAAGAATGCGCCGCAAGGATGTCTCATAGGACTGTTGCCCCGCAGGTATCATCTGCTTCATTTCGGCGTTAGCAGAACATCGTCGCTACTATCGTGTGACCAGCTACAGGACAAAACCGCAGGCGTTATGGCCAACGTGGGAATGTAAGGGGTTGACGGGAACAAGAAGGTTGAAACTGTTTGGAACTTACGCTGACGTAATCATATTCTCTTTGCTTTTTGTCGTTGCTATTGTTGCCGTTTGTTCAGGTTAAATACCCTTGGAAACGTCGCGTGTGTTGTCCGAGTGAAAGTCCGTGGCTAAACGCCTATATCGCGCTTGGTGCGATCTTCTGGTATGTGTTTTATGCTGGCGCCTGAGCTCCTTTGGTACCATTTTTTGCGCGGAGTATGCTTTTCAGCGCTGGAACATACATTTCGGCAATCTGCGAAAATCTTTTAGCGTTTCGCGGTCTATGCCTTTGGCTCAGCCTTGTTTTGTAACTGCGCGATTGCGTTGCCAAACGTTCTGGGCTTGATGGAAAGAAAACTGCTTTCGACGTGTAAAGTACTGCTTTCTTGACATTGCGTTTCTCCCGTAATTCGTGCAAGAGTCGCGCATTGACGCATATACGTACAATCACTGTGTGGAGGTATTTTCCGGGAAACATCTTGCGCGTTTGAATATTCCCTGGTTTTGCGCGCCTCTAAAAAATATTCATTTGCGCGCCCAAACATCCCTGGCGCCACTACTTGAAGTATGTTCTCTTTGACAGCTGCATTTGTTGAGCCTTTCGCGCTTGAATTATACCTATGCATTCGTCCTTGTATACTTGCTTCCCTTGCGTGATTGTATTTTGTTTTGGTGTTCTGTACGAATAGAACTGTGACACACACTAGCCTATCTTGCCTGGTGCGAATCTCTTGTTGTGGTGTGTTGACATGGTTCTTCCCCCGAATAGAACATTCGCTGGCGCCTGAACATACAATATGGTCACCCATTGCGCTTGGTTGTTGAATTTTTCAACATACTTTAGGCGGAAGATTGTGTTCGACGCGTAGAATACCGGTTGCTTGAAGCGTCGTTTCTTGTGTTGGTTGCGTAGAAGTCGTGCATTGGCGCATGTACATACATTCACTGCTTAGATGTATATTGTCTGAAAACACTTTGCTTGTCAATATTCGCTTGGTCCGCGTGCTTGTGTATAAACTAGCGCTTGCGTGTCCAAACGTATATCTTCCCCAGTGCAAATACTTAAAGTGTCTCTCTTCTTTGGCGACTGACTGCGTTCATTGCGCCTGTCGCGTTTAAATTTTGCATTCGTCCATACATACACTTTCTGTCTCTTTTGGTGATAATGTGTTTTTTGGTCTTTCTTTTCTGTATACTTTTCATTCTCTGTCGGACAGAAAATTTGAAATGGCGCCTTAGATATTCACACCGCTTCGCGGTCGAAGCCGCCCGCGCAGATCAAAGGGAAAAGGTTGGAGACAAGTGGCTGGCGCTACCGATCGTTTCCCCTCCACCAAGACCAGACCACACGCGCGATATGAGTCGCCTCTTTCCTTGTCACCAATCTTCAGTCGGAGAGCCTACCCAACCTCTCCACCAAAACCACACACGCGATATGAATCACGTCTTTCCTGAGACCAATCTTCTGTTGGAGAGCGCGCGATGTCGATAGTGCGATTTCCCCCCGGCCGGCGTAACAGGCGTCGCCAACGTTTGGTCCAATTTTTGTCCATCTTCCTGAAGCACTGTAAAACGCAGCGTTTCGTAACCCCAAGCTAAAGCTTAAGATTTATCTAGCAGATTTCTTCTGATTGCTGTTGCCACGACCCTCGGCACCTTCGGTGCGGGCGGATTTACAAGTAGACGCCTGTCTTCCTTTGTGCGAATCTCTTGTTGCGCTGATTGACGTGAGTTCACGCGCAAAAAGCGATGCGCAGGCACTTGAACGTACAATCGGCGTACACTCCTTGAGTGCCTCGCGGTCTATGCAATTCACATTTGACTTGCGCGCAACTGGTTTTGCCACGTTGCGACTGCGTAACTGTCAACGTTTCGATGCCTGATAAGTGAAAGAAAGAACAACGCAATGAGCAAAACAAGCAGCAATATGCACCAGATCTTGGCTCTTAGTGGCAGCTGTTGTTTTAAGGTTGCCAGCTGGGTTAATTTTTGTTTTGTGTTGTTCCCCACATTGACGTGTGGTTTTTTGTTTTTAGTGTGGTATCCGCTCCTCCTTCCTCCTCCTCCTCCTCACGCATCCCGCACCAACCAACTGCCCTAATTGTCATCAACCAATTGTCATCGACCAATTGCTACCCACCACTTGTCATCAACCAATTGCCACCCACCAATTGTCACACAGCCAGTTGTCAACAACCGCTTGTCATCAACTCACCAACCAAGTGTCATCAACCGCATTGTCATCAACCAAATGTCACCAACCAATTGTCATCAACCAATCACCAACAAATTGTCATCGACGAATTGTCGCCAAGCAATTATGATTTGCTTGCTTAATTGTCTTCACCAGGGGTGGGATGTACGCCCTGGCGCTGGCTGGCGCTGCTGGGTCTCCGTCGCTGTTCCGCTGTGATTTGCGCGCGAGGTGTTCAAAAACACTGTGTTTCACAGGGTTTTGTGGGCGTGGAAGATCCACAATTTGGACAGTGGCGAAATGCAAAAACCGTGGGTTTTACAAGGGTGGTGTCGGTAACGGGCGCCGCCCGGACGTGCGTACTTGGATTTTTTTTAGTGATGGGCCCGTGTCAACGCAAATGGCGCAAAATGCACCCCAAGATGAGCCAACAGAGGCCCCCAGGATAGGTCCAAGATGTGTTAACATAGCCCCATCATTTGTTACCGACCAAAGTGTCATCAATCAATTGTTACCAACCAATTGTCTCCAACGAGTTGTCGCCAACCAACTGCTACCAACTTCACAAGATCACATTATAGGGCCGGATAACCCCACATGTTAGCAACTTAGCTAGAGAGAATTGTCTGCGTAGGTGACAATTGGTGGGCGGCAATTGATTGTGGGTGGCAATTGGTTGATGACAATTGGTTGAGGACCATGTTTAAAAAGAAACAGGCTTTCAAAAATAACACTTTCAGAAGGGCAGAGACGCGCCAACCAGTTGTCGCCAACCAATTGCCACAAACCAATCATCACCAACCAATTGTCACCAACCAATTGCCACCGACTCGTTGTCACCAACCAATTGTCATCAACCAGTTGTCATCAACCAGTTGCCACCCACAATCAATTGCCGCCCACCAATTGCTACCAACCAATTGCCACCAACTAATTGTCACCAACCAATTGTCATCAACCAATTGTCATCAACCAACTGCCACCCACAATCAATTGCCACCCACCAATGGCTACCAACCAATTGCTACCAACTAAGTGTCGCCAACCAATTGTCATCAACCAATTGTCATCAACCATCTGCCACCCGCAATCATTTGCCACCCACCAATTGCTACCAACCAATTGCTACCAACCAATTGTCACCAACCAATTGTCATCAACCGGCTGTCGTCGACCAATTGCCACCAACCATTTGCCACCAACAAACTGCCGCACCAATTGTCACCCGCCAACCACCAATTGTCCGCTCCTGTGTCTGGTGAAGTTGTGAACATGTGGGCTATCCGGTACTATAATTCTTATTGCTTCGCTCTACTTGTTCTTTCTCTTGGCGCCTTTGTTTCTGCCCAGTTTGCATCCGGGCCAGGTTACTTACGCCCAGCGCGTGGGTGGAGTCATCGCTTCCCTGAGGTGCCGCGACTTGTCCAATGGCCGCTCCGAAGGTGAACCAGTGGTTTTCGGATGTTCCACGGTTTGTATAGAGAAGAAATAAGCTGCCAGATTCTTAGCTTTTTGCTGGGGGCCCAAGTGAAGATCAGCCTTCGCTGGATTGTGCTAGGCCCAGGACCAAATTGCGCTAGGCTTTTATTTCCTTCAATCCGGCCGTTCACCGGTTTGTTGGTGTGTTTGGTAGCCTGCGCATCTGCGCTAGTGCCGCAAGGAAGATCAGGAAGGGGCTCACCGAGCCCAAGGACCTTTACTTGCTTGCCTGAGAGAGGCGTTGGTGAAGGGGCGCCATTCTTGTCCTCCGTCAATGGGCATGGGCAAAGGGAGGCGGCTGGAATGAAGTGAGTGGAATGTCTGCCCGAAGCAACAAGCGCGCGTGTCTGGCAGAAAGGGCATAGTCCGTCGGAAAAGTGTGGTGAGAGAATTGGGGGCAGCTTGTGGTATGATTGGTACAGCTCCCGATTTGAAGCATGGGTACGAGGATGTCTCCGCAGCTCCTCTGTTCAGAATTGTAGTTTCTGTCCTAATTTTGGCGGTGTGATGAAAGCAACGATTGGGACAGGTGAATATGTAACTCACAGTGGGACAAACGTGGCTCTCCTGCGAATCTTACGCTCTGTGATTTCAGTAAGAGCTTTACAGTTCTTCGATCTGTGCGCTTTCACCTTTTTTGCGTTAGCGTCCTCCTTTCTGGTCCTCTACGTTGCCTTTTCGACCTGATTGTTTTTTCTAGAGGATTGTTGTGAAGCCTCGAATTAATGCTTTGGTGCCTTGTGTGAAAGGGTTGCGTTAGATGGATTTACCTTTATTTTGGCAAATGTTGTGAGTGCATGTGTGACATGCAAGTAGAGACAGGTCTGACTGGTGGTGAGACTGACTGGACTTTTCAACAACACATCTGTTGAGTCTGGTCGAGAGACGGGCTATCATGAGCCACGCCGCTCTCGGACATGTGCCCTACCAGAAGCCCACATTGTGACAGTGATAGTCAGGGTCTTTCTATGCCTTGTGAAAACTCTGACTCCGCGATGGTGTCTGTGTGGAACCAAGAAGGCGTTGATCCTGCCAATGGCCATAGCAGTTTATTCGGCGACTGCCAAGGAACCAATGTGTGGCTGACAAGCAAAGAAGCTAGGGTTGGTTGCGCGATTTTGCTTCTTTCAGGATTGCCCTCAGACAAGAATCAAGGTTTGGTTTGCTCCAACAGGAACGCGTGAACTGTCAGCGTGCGACGAGGCTTATGCCACATGATTTCGGTAGATCGGAGATTTGGTTTGACCGCGTTGTTCCTTTGAGCGGCTTACTCCAGACCAAAACACCTCTACGCCAATCGCGTACAGGAATGGTCGGCCATGGTCTTTTTCAAGGCTCTTTCTAGTTACTTATTTTGTGCGTGTACCCTCACTGACCGACATTTTGCGTTGCAGGACTCGCAGGCCTTTGGTCAGAAGGCAAATTACGTTCAGCTGTTCTGGTCAATATTTCAAACGTTTGGCTCCTGCTGGAATGTCCTTGAGATTGAGTTCTTGTCGCTTACGCGGGCAGATTTTGACTGGCTTGATCATCGCTTGATCCCAGACTACTGCCGCCAGAAGCCTTGCAGGACACAGATGAAATCTATAATCTTTACGGGGAAAAGGCGGCCTTGCGCAAAGCTTTGTCTCAGCGAACTTTGGGGCAAAGGGCCAACTTAAAGTATGGCCCCTCCAGGATGGACTGCGGCGTGCTGCGATGCCGATGCAGTGACAGTCTTACCCCGTAAGTCGTCCAATGACAACACGGCAGCTTTCTGGGACCATTCTTGGAGCGTGCGTCCAATGGCGTCGGCCAGATCAGCTGCAGGGTGAATTCCAGCCGTCCCGCTGATACTTGACAATGATTGGATTCAGTCGTTCGCTGAGCTGCTATATGGGGTGTACGCCAACATGGTGGATGGGTCCCCAGCCTGCACCCCTCCAGATAAGGGATCATGGAAGAACGCGCCTTCCTTGGTCGTATCAAAGACTTGCAGAGCGGAGATGAGGTAATTCTTCGCGTGTTGGTGTTGCGATCGATGTGTCTTAGTTTTGACTGCGACGTCAGACACGATCGATTCTCCGGGTACCAGGGTTGACCTGGTCTATCTTGGGCCGGATGATCTCACGGTAGCGTAGGCTAGCATGAACGGAGCTGCAGGCAGGAAGCAGCAATAATTGCTCCTGCGTGTCTGGTCATCGTGCTTGTGAGGAGAGCCTTCAAAATCCTCTCGCAAGCTTTGTGAGCAGGCGTGGGGACATATGACGCATATGCTTTTTGCGTCCTTACAGAGTCATGGCGTGGAAGGCTGCATGCTGATTGACTATGAAGAGATTTGCAGCAGTTTGCCTCGGATCGGGCCGACCCTATCGGGCCGAGCCTGGGTCCCCAAAACTGTGGCTTGCTCTTCACAGTGTTACTCCAACACGCCCACGGAGCCTCATGATCTAGACGCAGGTGGACTTTCCTGCTGGGAAGGACAGACTGAGTTTCCAAACGCGTTGCCGAAGCCATTGCCGATGAGCCAAATGACGATCTACCAGCCAGGCAGGTGTTGCGCGTACTGAGACAAGAGTATGGCCCCCACTATTTTCGCAAGTCCAAAAGCAACCAGACTTGGGACCCCTGCGGGGAGATGACGCTTGTGTGCAACTTTTGTTTCCAAAACGATTGAGCAGGCCCTCAGAACCTTGGGGTGGACGCTCATACCCTCCTTTGATTGCAAGAACTTTGTTTGAAGCGGCAGAAATGCCCTGCGCGTGCAAGTTAGAGTGGCAATGTACAAACGAAAGCCGAGGCGCACGTTGCCTCTGCCAGTTGTCACCGATACTCGGGGAGAGCCCTCGGTGTCGTTCGAATCATTCGAAGACGCGGAAGCGCCCAGCGCTTTGCTCCTTTCTTGTTGATGCTGTTGTTCGGCAATTCCATGGGGGAGGACCGGATGAGGTCCCGCCTGACTTCCTTTGAGAAGATGGAGAAACTTGTGTCCAACTGAGCAATTGTAACTCTGATGCTGCCATGCGCCCGGACTATCGTCCTGCCGAGACCTCAAATTAGTTGAAAGCATGCGCCGCGCGGGTAAGGTTCAGTCAAAGCCACGTTGCAGCGTTCAAGAGACTCTCATGTCGTGGTGTGGACCATGGTCACTCTAAGGGGGACTTGTGCATCTCTGTGTTTAGGTACCCTTGAGGTTTTCTGTTCATTGCCCCTGCACTGCAGCTTTCACGCAGTAGGGTTGTAGTGAGTTGAAAGTTTTCTACCTCACTCCCTTTGGGTTTTGCGCGCTTTTTCTTGTGATGAGCTGCGCCGAGTGCAGCGAGGAGTGCGCGCCGGCTCTGGCAGAGCTCAGCGCCGAAGAGTTGAGGCGCTCGACGCTCTCTGTCTGGACGATGGAGACCGTCGGCAGTTTTTGGTCAACTTCGCGGCCGACGCGGAAGATCTGGCTATGCTAGTGGAGGTTTTCATTGCCTTGCAGACCTGCGCGCAATCGCAGGCAAATTGGCTACGGGGTATGAGCTCTGGCAGTCGGAAGGCATGAACTTTGACAGGGACTACTTTATCCCCTTGCCGTCAGCAGATTTGCTTTCTCGCCAATGCTGCATGGTAGACTAAACTGCCACTTGCACACTGTCAAAAGGCCTATGCCAAGAGTTGCGGCTTCCTGTTTGGCGCGGAGGCGAATGGCTTCAAGCTGGTGTTGTGCCGTGCCACGGGTCGTGCTTGGTCCGAGCGTAGCGAGCCCCGGGAGAGACGGGATTTTCTGGGTCGCTGGCGAGTGTCGCGCAGCAGTGATGAATATCTACATACTGCTCGCAGCGTTGTTCGACAACTGCAAGAGGAATTGGTCACAGGAGTACTGGCTGATGTTTCAGGTGAAATCAAGAGCATTGGCTTAAAAGACTTGGAGTTGCATCTCCGCCAATCCGGCGAATCGGATAGCGCCATCAACCAGAGCATGGAGATCTTAGATGTCGGGTTTTGGGCTGCCCACAGAGCTAGAGACTTCAGAGAGTGCTGGACCTGGCATTAACGCTGCCGAGTCAAATTTTTTTTGTCTGCGTTCCCAAAAACCTGCGCTTTCGCCGCTTGCAAAGATGGAATGGTTGCGGCAGCAATGTTTTTCGAAGGATTTGACAGTCTCGAGGGCGTCGTGTTCGATTCAGCTTGCAAACATTGTTGGAAAGATGGCGGCTTGAAGAACAATGACAGTTCCAGTTCGTCTGAGAGCACAGACGCCAGTTTGGCTTGACGACCCAAACTTAAAGTCTTGGACAGCCAAGCCTGTCATATCCCTCTGGACGAGCGTTTGCATGCTGCGACGTCCGTCCGCTATGATAGCTGGCCTGTCAACAAACGTTTTGTTGACTCTGGCATCACGTTGCCAGTTTGTCTATGTTTGTCAGCCGCGATTAGACAGAAGCTGTTAGGGTTAACAACTTGTGCCTGGTTGACGCTTCTTGCGCGCAGCGCTCGCCTTCGATCGGGGAAAATCTTCCAGCGCTGTGTGGTGGCGCAGAGAAGTCATTGGCTCCCCTTCATGTTTCAAGTGAGGATGTGGCCCCTCCTTGTTGTGAAGAAGTCACATCAGATGAGGATGAAGACGGGCTTCCCAAGCCTTGCTTTCTTGAATTGCGAGAAATTTTGCGGGAGCAAATGGACGCCTGAGAAGCGTGCAATGATTTGGTGCAAAGCTGGATCTTGAGGAAGTACCCGGAGGACAACCCTTCAAGCTTCCTTTCATTGAGGAGGTCTTGAGAATTTCCGGGGATCCGGATTTTCGGGCTTTCTACAGCAGCAGCATGTCCTTTAGTGGGAGTCAAGCGCGAGCTGCCACGCACGCCGGCAGTGTTTGAGAGAAAGGTAATGCGCAGGGAATACGCGGGCGAACAGTTGCCAGACACAGATCTGCGAGGGAATTACCACACTGCAGAAGAGAATGGAGACCTTGGAGGCACAGTTCTTAGAAGAGGAAAAACGCGGTGCAATGGTCAAAATGAGCTGGGAGGAGGCGCTTGCAAAGTACGGGGACACTTTGCGGCTGGCGTCGCTTGGAGCAATACCTAAGTCTGACAGCGCTTTCCGTGTCATCCATGACAGCGCCCATGCAGCGCAGGGGTGAATGGTTGCAGAGAGACCAGCTTGCAGTCTCAACGGCGGGTGACCTTCGCCAAGCGCGCAAGGAATTGGAGCGGCCCACTTTTGTATTGACCGCAGATGTGAGCAGAGCGCACCGTTTAGGGAAAATCCGAGAATGTGATTGGGGTTACCCAGCGTGCAAGATCGAAGCAGTCTGCGCATGTTTGGGTCAACGCAGTAGGTACTTTTGGGATTGCCAGCGTTGCAGAAACGAAGCTTTGTTGACGACATGTTGTGGATTGCCAGAGGTGCTTCGGGGACAGAAGCTATTGCAGTCGCTTTGCTCTTCCTGTCTGCGCTTGGATTTCCTTTTACATGTGGCATGAGTGTAGACTGGGTCGGCTATTATAACTTGGACATTGAAAAGCTGCTAATTGGTATCGTTGCCAAGCGTACGCGTTGGATAGTAGAATGGTTGCAGACTGCATTGGAGGAAGACCGTGTGTGTACGAGTGAGTTTGCCCTCAGTTCTGGGTCGTTTCAGCTTCACCTCTGCAGCAGTGGAATGCTTGAGGCCTTTCCAAAAACCCTTGTACTCCTGGAGCGTGGCAGTCGGACATTGCAAGAGCAGCAAGCTGTCGAAGGTTGTCCGTTTAGTCTTGGAGTTCCTGCGCAAGATGCTACTACAAGGTTGCAGTGCGCAACCGGTGGGCGCAAGATCGCCGAAGCCCGTCGAACTGTTCCGCACAGATGCGAAGGCAGAAGGTGAAGAAATCTGTATAGGTGGTTGGGCCGTAGCAGATGATCCATCCTCCACCATGAATTGCCCATGGTTCAGCGAGCGGCTAGCCAGGCAGAATGAAAGTTGGGCCTTCATTGCAGGAGAACCTTTTAGGGCAATATCATCTTTGGAGATGCTAGCTACACTGGTAGGGATGGTCGTTTTCGGAACGAGGGGCTGTGAGGAGGGTATCTTCTACTGCTCTGCTGCCACTTACAATTCGGGCAATGCCCATGTTTTGAGCCGACTGCTTACAACGAAGTTTCCAGTGATAGATTCCTCATGGAGATCGCGGCAAGGATGATCCAGGGCAACGTGCAGATGCGCTTAGAGTGGACGCCCCGTTTGCAAAACCGGGAAGACGCTTTAACAAATGGAGATTTCCGTGGCTTCGACCCGGAGCGGAGGGTCCGCTTCTGTCCGGACAATTAAGAAGGCATTATATTCTGCAAGATATGTTAGACGCTGGAGCAGACCTTTTCGGCGAAATCCGCGCAGGGATTGCAAAGAGGACAGGCAAACGTGCGAGAAGGGAACGTCTTCAACAAAAGAAACCTTGGGGTTGATCAAGTCGGAGGCCCAAGCGCCTACTCCATACACTGGCTTTCCTAAGCTGCGCAGTTGCATGGGACGCCTTCCGGGTGGGGTAAATGTTGATCGCCCATGTTTGGGTGCCAGGGCATATGTTATGCCTTGACCTTCTGGCATCGTGGCATATGTTACGCCTGTGCCTTTAGGCCTTTGCTGCAAAAGGTTTTGCAGCAGGTCTGGACCATGGTCCATCTAAGGGGGACTTGGGCGTCTCTGTGTTTAGGTACCCTTCAAGTTTTCTGTTCATTGCCCCTGCGCTGCAGCTTTCACGCAGTAGGGTTGTGGTGACTTTTCTACCTCACTCCCCGTGGGTTTTGCGCGCCCCGCCCTCTGCCACCCTTCGGCGCGCGCGATAGATGTTGATCGCCCATGTTGGGTGCCAGGCATATGTTGTGCCTTGACCTTTTGGCATCGTGGCATATGTTATGCCTGTGCCTTTAGGCCTTTGCTGCAAAAGGCTTTGCAGCAGGTATATTTTGCCCATACCGCTTTGTTAAGAAAAGAGGCGTGGTGCGCTTGCGGGTTGGCGGATTTTTGTTTGTTTACCTAGCACTGTAGATGCATCTATCCCGAAGGAAGGCTCATGAACAATCCGGCATTTGCCGGCGTGTTTTGCGCAAGTCCAGGGCACACGTGCGAGATGCGCGCGACTTGCGTTGGATGCAGGGTATACTGCAGGGCTGGCTCGGCAGCCCAGTGCCAATCCAGGAGACCATAAGGCGCAAAGCTGAAGCGACAGCAGCCATTGTGTTTTCTTTCGCTTTCTCTGTCAGCTTTGCTGTGCTTGCCGTCAGCTTCATTCCTCCTCGCATATGAAAAATTGATTTGCATCAAGCACGCATGGCTTCTCCTGGTTGGTTCTTTGGTCCTTTGGCCCGCCGGTCCTTGCTTTCCTGGTCCCTTCATCACCTCTTCTGGTTCCCTGGTTCCGTTTTTTTGGTCCTGCTTCTGGCCCCCTGGTCTTGGTTGCTTGGTTCGCATTGAAAAACTTGTCAACACAAGTGCGTGCTTTAGTACAAAGGAGTTTTTCACTCACCTCAAATATGCTCTATAGTATGCAACATGATCTGTTTGGATTGGTTCTACTCACAGGACCTCATGTGCCTTATGATGTGCTCTGGGATGCCACATCAAAGGATGCTCTTGATTTGGATGTCATTTGCCAAGTTATGTGCTATTCGCAGTGAATCTGCAACGATTTCACACGCTGTGTGCTGTTGAATGCCACACGAATGAGTGCTATTGATTTTACAGTGTGGATGTGATGGCAAATGGAACATGTCATATGTCGGTCAAACATCAGCTTGTCACTAAGCAGGGCAGCAACGCTTGAACTTGCTGAGTCATTCAAGGTTCTCTTTGAACAACGTATGCCCGTATCATGTTCTACATCTTCTACATTTTCTACATCATCATCATCATCATGATCATCATCGTCAGCACCGACAACATCGCAAAAAATCACACAGCAACAACATCACGCGCATGACCTATGGCAATGAACTCACGACAGGCTTACAGCAAACAGCGCATATATGCACATATCTATCTAGAGCCCAACTCAAAAACATGGTTTCATGTTTCATGTCCTTTCGGGCCCCGTGTATTCGTACAGGCAGGCCCACATGAAATGCACTTTCCGCCTTCGAAGATTCGAACACAAGTGCACTCGGATCGTTTTTTTCCAGCTTTCCGGGCTTGCGCTCTTGGCTGGAAAACTCTATTCCACAGCCTTGGATTCACCAATCATTTGCCTTTGGATCGGTTCTTGCTTTGCGGGATGAACTTCTTCATCCACGACCACAGCCCATCCAGCTGCTGGGCGCCAAAGATCATCTGGTTCGAATTGACCCATGCTGCTGCGGTTTAGAAGAGATGCACTGTCCGAACGAATGAACGTACATCACTGTCCCCCCTCACCCTCCTCCCACACGCACGTGAACACAAACGCGTTCGTGATTGTTCGTGAAAATCCATCAAACGAAAAGTTTGTGAACAACCATCAAAGCCCTGCTCACAAAAAACTCAACATCTTCAGGGGCCCGTATGGCCGTGACACTGAGCACACAAGATCATGAAGCCAAAAATGCGCCCACAATTACATTCTATGAGTGCCAAAAAAAGGGCACACTTGAGGCACTCATGCATTTGACACTCACTTGTGGCCGATGTTCCAATACGATAAAGATTCGACGATGGTTCTTTTCAATGGAAAGTTCTTTTGTCTTTTGTTCTCCGCTCACCCATCTACTGTACCAGCGTAGCTGGCGTCTTTTGTCAAGATGTCAGCCGGGACCAAAAACACGGAACCATGCGGAAACTGATGTAAGTCTGCCATCTGTAGAATCTCGGCTGTCGCGCAGAAGGTTCGTTTGCGCAGAGAAGGTCTGAGCCGCTTTTGTGCCGTTCCTGTTTGCGTTCAGGGTTGGTTCGCTGCGGGTGGCCTTCAATGCAAGCAGGTGCTAAAACTTGTTGAAGGCTTAGGGCGTTGGAGTCGACTGATTTAGCAGAGAAACTGCTGTGTTGTGCAAAGTGTTTCAGCTACAAAGGTGTCGTGACGATGTTTGTGGCCGGTTCATTTTGCCCATCCTGGCAGGGTTGGAGCCAGCCATGAGTTGGAAGCATCTTTAGCGCCTTGACTTGAAAGGTTGCACTGTGAAGACGAGACTTGCATTTTCATTTTCACTTTTAGGATTCCGAAGTAGCTTCTCGGGATCCTGTTGAATGGAGTGTGGAACGTCGAAGCCTGAGCCTTTGAAAAGCCTTTTAGATGTAGAATACCACACGCCCAAATTTGACGCGTTCTCCAGGTTTTGCACACTGTCAGTGTGCACTTCATTTCTTGAAACAACAAAGGCAGTCTAGAATCTCTACTTCGCAAAGACATGCTCGACCGTCTTCAAACATTATTGCACTTTCTTTTTTGATGGTTTTTGAAGGGTTTTGCATTTACTTTTGCCAATCTGTCGTCTGTCCCAATTATCCAAGTTGTGGGTGATCTATGGTTGACAAGCAAGTACGCCGTGTCCTATGCCTGTCCTCGCAGTGCCTTGCACCTCCTCTTGCGCCTTGCAACAGCCTCGAATGCTACGGTTGCGGCTGGCCAGAAAGCGCTTTTTTCAGGTCTTTGGTTTCGTAACATACCAGAAAGCCTTCGGCGTCCGGCCTCTAGGGTGATTTTCTGTGATGGATTTTCGATCGTTTCCTTGGTGCGCTCTGTTTATAATTTCTTTTGCTTGAAAATCGTTTGATTTTTAGTTTCTAGTCATTTTGTCCACTATAGGATTGAGGCAGAGCATATCAACCGTTCTTGGTCAACGGCGCTTCAATTGCAGATCAGCCACTGTGTCGAGCTGTGTTTGCAACTAATCGCAGTTAAACACACAGATACCCGGATTCTAAGACCAGATCATCGACGGTAAAGACAAGTTACTGAATCTCGCAAAGAACATGAGATGCCAAACCTCGACAAAAATGCTTCGCTCAGTTTCTCCGCAATCGCCCCCTCAACATCGAACGCAAAGATGAAAGGTTTTTTTCCATGCTTTTGAGCAGTACTTTATGGCAGGTTGTAGGCCTGCCGAAGCTTACAGCAATGCCAAGCTTGCGGCCGAGCGCTTAGGATGAGTCTCTCATTTTTGGCAAAAGCCGCAAAAGGAGGAACTCCTTTGAGAAACAAGAAAGGGATGGAAGGAGGAAGGCGGAAGAAGGGAAAAGGGAACCGAGCTTTCGTCGAGCTTTGTTTCTCATGGCCCAGGTCCTTGCCTTTTCAAAGGAACTGGAATTTCAGCTTCGGAATTCTCGGAGCGATGGCGTAACCTCTCACGCCATCAACCCAAATGCTTTTTGGCAAAATGCAGGAAGTGGAAACGAAGCGAAGCCAAAGTGAAGATCAAACGATGTGAAGAATTCACAGTGTAGATCACAGGTGCATTGTAATTATAATGCTTTTCACCTGCAGCCCGCTTTTGGGTTGAGAGGAAAAAGTTCGTATGGTAGCGGAGTAAGGGCAAGGGAACCCCTTTTGAGCTCCAGAGAAAAGCCCCTAGGTAGGTTACTGGGATCCCGGAACCGTCTGAGCCGATGTGGGGCCTTTGAACCCGAACTGCTGACCCGTTGACCAACTGTTGTGAACTGCACTCTGTACCCCGTACATTGTGTTAATTACTTGAACAATATTGTTCTGGGACGATGGATGCGATAAGAGAGATCCTGGAAGTAGTTTCGAGGAGCACGCAAGCAGCAGCATAGGCAGTGAAGAAAGCGGTTGAAGACAAGAAGGCAAGTACAAAGGATTGGTCAAAGCTGATCACAAACCCTGGCTTGTTTGAACATAAGTCACAGTCAAAGCGTTCAGAGAGCGGTCATGGGTTTTTGAGAAGCACCTGAGTTCAGTGGATGAGGCTTAAAAGAAGAAAAGACCAGATGCATCAAGCTTTATGGATTGCTAGCTTCGTTGATGCGGGGCGTGGCGTTACCATTGGTTAAAGCTGTGGAGGACTCCAATGGATTTGATGCCGGGGGAGTAGTTTGAACAGAGCTTTGAAACCCACTTCGAAGGCAAGAGGATTAGCGCTTTTGGGAGCAGCCACTGCGTGGCCAGCATTTTCTATGAACAGTGCTCCACAACCTCAACTTCTCAAGCTGGAAGAGGTATTTGAGGAGACGGTCAAGTCAGCAAGTCAGGAAGAGCTGAAACCTGCGATTCTTTTGAGATGTGTGTGTGCGGACAGCTTAAGTCCTGCTTGGTTTTGACAATTGGCGACTGTTCAACACTCAACTGTGAGGGAACAAGTGTTGCAATGGGACCGTTCTCAACAGAAATGGGTTACTTCAATGGTTGCAAGTAGCAGTGCAGACTATCCCTATGGACGTCGATAGAGTTCAAGATGCCAAAGGAAAGGGCGAGAAAGGCAAGAATGCTTGCCAGAAGGGCAAAGGTAAAGATGCCAAAGGAAAAGGAAACAAAGAAGAAGACCACAGAAAGGAAAGGAAGGTGATTACAAGGGCAAAGGCAAGGGCAAGGACCAGAAAGGAAAAGGTGTGGCAAATTGTTACACTTGTGGGAAGCCCGGACATTTGCTCGAGAGTGTTGGAGGAACAATATTCGACAGGTTGCAAGTGATCCAGCCCATTCATCTTCAGGAGGAGGTTCAGTGACTACACATACAGTTGGCCAACGACAGGCAAATGTGACTCAGCAGAGCAGTTCAGCCGAGACCAAACCAGTTGTCAGGAGGGTTGAAAGAATGAGCCAATCATATTCGACCTGCGAGATAGACATGGTGGTTCAGAATCCCGTGGAATTCGAGTTATTCACTTTTACGTTGGAGATGACGGTGTTGAGCCATGGATGCCACGGAGAGAAGGAGAAAACCTTTTTTGAAGAAGGTTGACATCTCCAGGGGGGGTATGAAGAGCGTCGAGATCTCCTTGCGTGACATTGATGGATGTGAAGTTCTTCTCAAAAAGAATGTGATCTTCAGTTCAAATTTGCATCGCCCCATACTTTGTTCTGGAAGACTGAGGGAGAATGGTTCGGGAATCAATGGTCGAGAACAAACATTGGACAATGGTGACTTGTAGGTACCACTCCACTTTTGCAAAATCGCTCTTTGACTGTCCAAAGCCGCGTTAGAATCATTTGAGATGAAGATGCGCGCTGCTTGGAGGTGCAAGTTCCTGAAGCTTTGGAGAAAGCAGCAGGTTGGAAGTTCAATGAGCATGCTTTGCTCGTTGTTCATTCCATCACCAGAGCTGATGAAAACCATTTTAGTGAAGAGAGGAGGTCGATGGCTCACGCCTAAATATTGCGAAAGTGTGAGGAAGAATGAGGAACTTGATGAGCAATTCTTTGATGATGGCGCAGTCATTCCTTCAATGGCTATGAGCCAGCGCCGCCAGAAGATATGGGATTCTTTGCACCAGGATACAAGGAGCTTGAAAATAGAGACGAGACAAAGAAGGAAGTGGAGAAGCAATCGAAGAGATTACCCCTATACTCAACCGGAGAAGGCAGTAGAGGACCAGAAGAGGGTAAGAAAGAAGAAGATTTGGAGTGTGAGTGACGTAGAGAAGGTCCTGCTGGTGAATGGAGTAGAATTAACCAAGGGTTCTACTTTGGCAACGTTGAGAGCAGCGTGCTCATTTCTTGGCTCTAAGTTGAAGGTCTAAACAAAGATCTTCAATGGCAGCAAGAAGATGGAACTTCTTAATGCCAAGAGCTTTGTAAGTGAAGCAAAAGCTCAGGAGACCAGAAAAGCTCTAGGACAACGTGTGGCAAAGGTGCCCGATGAAGCTACTCAAGCAAGGCGCAGGTTGACGCACCTACCATTTGCCAAATGGTGTACGGAGTGCGTTGGGCATCGAGCGCGTCCAGATCGCCATGAGAGAACAGATGGGACTAAGAGAGGAAGTGTCCCTTAAGTGAGATTTGACTTTTGCTATACTAGATAGATAGAGCAAGAGATTTAGAAACCAAGTCAGCTAGGGCAGTATGTTGGCTAGCTGCAATCGATAGCCAGACTGGATTCATCCATGTTGTGCCACTGGGAAGCAAGAATCAATTTCGTCTTTTTGCACAAGAACTGATGGGTTTCAGTCAGACCTTGGCGTAGTCACCAATCACCTACAGGGGCGACAATGAACCCACAACGGAACAGATCCTGAAGATGCTGATCAATGCTCGTCACAGCTTAGGTCTTACAACCAGGTTGAATCCTTTAAAATCATTCATTTCTGTCAGACAGGGTGAGTAAGCTCGCAGGCATTTTCATTGAAGGTATTCAATCAAAGCTTGGTATCAAGATAGGGTCAGATCATGCACTTTTGACTGGGGCAGCAAGGCATGCCAGTTGGGTGTTGCGTCGATTTCGACCAGTCAACCGGACATCCATGCTTAATTGTGGGTACAGACAGTGTGCAAATAGTGCTGAGCAAATGCGTCAGAACAGATTAAGATTGGTCCGAGTATTTGGCAACCTACAAAAGCTTCAAACCTATTCATGGGAATACCAGACAAATTTTGGAGGCATAATTATTGCCACCAAAAAAGAGCAGAAGCGTTGCCAGTAGGACAAACAGACATTCCTCGAGAGCATGTGATGTTGGAGTTCAGAGATGAAGGTACTGAAGTCGTCATTGCAAAAGCTCTTGAAGGAGGAAGTGATTCAGAACGACAACAACCACTTCTACCAGAGCCTACCCCAGTTCTCGCACCGCCGGAACATCCGGGTGAAGCAGGGAAAAGAGATGGAAGTGAAGTAAGAAAGCCAAGTGGAGAGGAGGCCCAAGCGAGAAGCAAAAAGTTCTATTTGCAGATGAGAAAACATTTCAGGAGATGAAAGCATTCACGCCAACGCCGTCCAGAGGTCAACCCAATCCAGTTACTCCTATTTCATCGTCGTTGAGGTTACCGCCTTCGAGACCAAGGGAAGCGTTTGAACTTCTTGAAGACGAGAGTCCTACGAAGAAGCCTAGGCCATCAGATGATTCAAGCAAAAAGACCTCTATCACGTAGACGAAGAACTACCTCCAGCTGCAGAAGAAGTTGATGAAGAGGATTGGCAAGGAGAAGGAGATGAGGAAGGAGAAGAAGAAGATCAACTAAATGGACCTGCGTCTCTCTTTCCTTCAGCGAAAGCAAATTCACGCGCAACTAATCTTGATCTTCTTTTCCATATCTTGCTTGTTGCCCCATCCTCATGATGGCAACTCTTCTTTCTCCAATCGTACGCATTGCGGGTAGTCAAGGAACTGACACCGCCGTCTGGCTTTTCTCGCGCTTGCATCTTCTGAAGTCTCTTTTCTTCAACTTCATCAGCCACACGACCCATTCTGCTGGGCTTTTCTCTGGTTCGTGTTCTCCATCACGCCGCAAGCAACCTACGATCTTCTTGCAGAGAGTCAGTGAAGAGAGAGAGAGAGAAGGAGCGTTTTCTCGAGTGCTAGGTTGTCCAGACGTGAAGGAAGCATTCTTGCAAGTTCCACAAGAGAAGCCTTCGAAAGTGAATTTGAGAGAAGAATTTCTGGCAAAAAGGGATTTACCTGGACAGAGAGTTGGAGCGAAGGCTTGGCTTGACTTTTTCACAGGGTCCTCACCGAGGACCTTGATTACAAGTTCAGTGTTTTGATTCATGTGGATGACTTGATTTTCGTAGGTTGTTGAGAGTTCGCCAACAAGATCTTTCTTCCAAAGATTCAAGACACTTTTGACACCAGCGCGAACAAAGTTAAGAAGACTGGTGACGAGTTCAATTTCCCGAGGTGAAAGTGCAAACTAGAAAAAGATCGACTATGGACCCAACCAAGTAACTACATTCAACAGATGCTGAAGGCTTATGAAGAGCAGGTTGGAAAGGTCAAACTTCAGCAACTACCACACAACTCCATTCAGATGGAGGACAAGTGAGAGATCCTGAGTGATCACGAGAAAGTCAGCTTATTCAGGAGCATTGTTAAGAAAGGTACGACGCGGCATTGCTGTCAAGGAATTGGCTTCAAGGATGTCAAATCCAACAACTATATCCTTTCATCACTTGAAGAAATTCGTAGGATACTTGACGAAGACGATGGACTATTGTCTAGTGGTTCAGTTTCGACAAGCAGGAGAAGGCTACGTGGAGAACTGTGGACACTATATATAGGTGTCTAGAGACATTCTCAGACTCAGACTGGGGCGGAAACAAAAGCCATAGAAGGTCAACGTCAGGAGGATTCGACGCATTGAGCAGTTGCCTGCCCATTATTCAACAGCAGTCGAACGCAGACGATGGTTAGCTTATCTTCATGTGAGGCAGAGTTGTGCGCGATAGTTTCCTCAGCTTCAGATGAGAGAGAGGGATATATATATATATATTTATATTCGCTCAGTTCTTGAGTTTGCGCTTGGGACAAAGGTGGACCATTACATCTTCACAGATTCTTCGAGTGCGCACCATCTTGTGATGCAGAGGAGTTTTTAACGTGAGCCATTGAGATGGCATGTTGCTGTGGGCTCAGAACCGCAAAGATTTCAATATGGTGCCAGTTGCAACAGATAGCAACATGGCAGACATCAACGCCAAACCACTTGGAGGCCAGAGGATCAGATTTATGATGAACCTTATTGGTTGCTGGCGCAACGAAGAGCAAACAAGAGGTGAGCTTGAGAGAAAGGCGTACGAGCAAAGAAAGAACTTTGCAGGCAAGGTCAACAAAATTGCCAAGAGGATGGTCAGAATTGTGACCTTTGAGGGCTTGCAGCCCATGGTTACAGAAGCTTACTACCTTCATGAAAGGAGTTGACCAGTGCACATTGGAAGTAGAAGACTACAATAGAAACTGGAAAATCGCGATCATCGTGATCAGCAATGGCCATAGCAGCAACGTGGATCTTCTGGAACTACGTGAAAGAAAGACTAGAAGTGCAGAGAAGATTCATTCACCGCGCAGGCAATGTGAATGAATTGGAAGTGAGAATGATAGAAGTTCGACAGGAGAGAGGAAGATGACAGGCTACACGAGGAGACTGCATTGCGGGTTGATTCTCAATGGAGGCCTTGTGGACAGGCCTATGACATGATTTCTGAGGCGAACGCAGCAAACACCGTTCCCCAGAGTAGCGCGCGTTCCACCGAGAAGGAGTGTGAAGAATTGACAGTGTAGATCGCAGGTGCATTGTATCATGCTTTTCACCCGCGGCCCGCTTTTGGATTGAGAGGAAAAAGTTCGAAAAAGGACATAGAAAATAGAACGAAGTCTTCACTTTTGTACGATTTAGCTTCGTCCTTTTTCCATTCTGGTGCCCATCCCAGGCTATGCTCACAGATTTCAAACCACCAGCGACTTCGGAATCTTGGTGACGTTTATTGAATGCAGAGAGAAAGAGACGTAGACAAGCGCAGGAGAATCGAGAGAACAAGTAGATTGATTTGGTCGTTGGAGAAAGTGTGCGTTTGAGCAGCGTCCACATAGCACAGTCATTCAGGCATGGGCATGCATTCATTTTTCATTTGGAGGATCCTATAGGCCCAATCACCATTTGAAGGAACACTCTGCAATGGAGCTTGGCATGCGCTTGCTCCATTGCCCACGCGCACCATGATGCCCCAGCGGCTACATGAAAACACGAGCAGGGATCTACGCAGAAAGCCATAGATGGGTGCTACGCCCTTGATGCGTGGCTCAGAAAGTATCGAAACACGGCAGGCTCTCGATTCGATACCCCTTTACAAATCAGGCAGGAGCCGTTGCCGTCAAGTGTTGAGCCCACTGGTGGCTCTGGTTCTCAACGGGGCAGCCCTGGGAAAGTTTTCGCTTTCAGTGATGGAGTGTCTGACTTAAGCTCGAAGCCAATGCAAACTTGCAGCTCCCCAAAGCACCAACCAACAAATTGCCACCAGCTGACTCAAGGATTGCCTGGGCCGCAGTTTTCCAGCTGCGCGGTGTTGCAAGGCAAGTGAAGCTCACATGATCCCGCTGTACACCACCTCGGTGAACCATCGGACAGACTTATGCTGGTGATGCCACCACAGCGGTTTCAATACCATGGATGTGCCTTTGACACGTTTGGCGACGTTTGTGCGTGGGGGTTCATTACCTGCGTCAGTTGCAGCGCGGGAGCGCGCAGGTGGAAGCATGGGCAACGCGCGCAACGCATTATGAATAAGGACAGGAATGGTCTCTTTCAGCTTCGCAAAAAGGACATGAAAGAGCAAAGGCTCGAAATGCAAAAGCCTTGGCCATCAGCTCATGGCCAATCAGCCGGGAATGGTTTAAACAAATCGCATCCCAGTGAAACGCGCGTCAACCCCCCCAGATAATCGGCTTTTGCTGCTGATAAGATGGGAGCGTGCCATATTTGCGGTCAAGTCAGGCGTTGAGCAACAAGGAAAGGAGGCTTTGTGAGTTACCTACACTCCTACACTGGAAACAGGGATCCATGGGGCCAACGCCTACACTGGTAAGGACTGCTTCGCTGAACAGATTGCTTGTGTAGAGTCAGCGCTCAGGACTGTCAGAGGTGTCGGATTCCTCCTACCCACGCCGTTGAGAGTGAACAGGTCCATATTGAAAAGCGGCGGGGCCCACCCCACGACTTGCAGCTGAAGAGTGTTTCAATGACAAGCTGCGCGCGCCTGGGGCTGCTTGAGCCCGTTGTAGCTGACGGGTTGACGCAGTTATAAGATAGCTAGCGAGTCTTTGCCACAGTTAGGGTTTTGTTTGGGCTGATGAATAACGAGGTAAAAACAGTTTCTTCAATCTCAGGATGGTGGCAACATAGTCTCTGCAAGCAGTCCTCTTACAGAGCTTGTCTGCAATTCAAAAGGATTGGCAAGTGCTATGAAAGTCTAAGATCAATCGAAGGTGGGAACACGAAACAAACGCGCAGAGAGGCAAGCGAAAAGCTGAGAACGGCGCATTGTGGTGGAGGCTTCAAGAGCACGATGTGCCGTAAACGTGCGCGCGCATGTTTTTCCCAATGTTTTATAGCGCACGCGCACACGCATATATATATATATATAAGTATAGCGCGCGCACTCTCTCTCTCTATATATATATATATGACCCCGTATGCCCCCTTGTCTACTTTTGATTGGAGGCACATGAAACCAAAGACCTGTAATTGCTCTGCCGCTCTTTGCCCAATGGGCAGAGCAAATATACCGCCTGGATCACATCTCCCGGATGGGGTGGTGCATCTTGTTTGACCATTCGCCCACGCGCCCTCAAGCTTGGTAGACGTTGCCTGCTTGGATTGCTGGATTGCTGGCGGTCTCTTATCATTTTCAGCGGCAGGAGCCTGGAAGTGTTTCTGCATCTTGTCCGAATGCATGGCTTCTTGGCCATCCTGCGGTTTCGTGACAGATTCTGCAATGTTTTTCCCACTCTCTTTGACAGAGAGACTGCAGAAGTCTTTTGGTGGAGTCGGACTCCCCTGCTCAAAGGCATTCATCGCGCGCAAAACCTTTGTCCTTTCCAAAGAGGTTAACGCGCTGAAGTTTTTGCCTTTCATCGGGTGAGAATGTCATGGGTGGCGCTGGGTTCTATGGGTGGTGGGAACTCTGTCAGGCACCAGCGTGATATTTGGGTTGAAACTGATTGTGATTTTATCTGCGTTCATGTAGTTCCCCGGGAGCATTGGTTCGACCCATCCAAGTGGAGCACTTTTTAACGCAACGGACTGGCGGATATACGCATCTTGCTGGGAGTTCATGGCATGAAGGAGGTCCATCTGATGCTGTCGGAAGCTAAGCCTAAGCCTACCAGGCTACCATCGAAGGCGCAACTGCCCCTTGCACGTTTGCGGGCCCGGCTTGACGCCCTCGCAGAGGGAGCAACTTGTCCAGGAGCTGGTGGCTTGCTCGAAAAGTGACAGGGCCGCGCAGAAAAGGATCAACAACACCCATCTCCCAAAGCCTACGAGGAGCTGATCCTGGGCGGGCTGGCTACAAGGATATGAGGCTGACCGGGATCAGGGCAAGAGCGCTCCGTGCGTGAGGACTCGAATTTGGCGCTGACTCAACTCACCTCATCTGGCAACGAGACCCCGCCGAGATTGCAAAAACGCTCGACCACCAGCAAGGTGCGAGATGGACACGTGGCGGAGGAGACATGGGAAGCCAAGCCCATTTTGCTCACAGTCTGGTGCCATCTTTTTCGTTTCAATATCAGCAAGCAAGAGAGGATGAAGAGGCAGAAGGAGGAGAACCTCGTGCGCTTACTGCGTGTTTTGCTGAGCTGGACAAAGGTGCCAGTACCAGATGCAAAATGTGGTTGACCAACAACCGCTGAGGAAGCCAGTGTCTTTACTGACCAACGACGTGACATTCGCAGAACGCATGTCTCGCAAACGCGTGTTCAGGCCTACGCCGCCGCTTTGGCCAATGTTGCGGTGACCACGGTGTTCCACACACCGTGAAAGGCGGCGCTCCAGGACGACCGCGATGAAAAAGATCCCCGCAGAGCACAGGCCATCTCCCTCAAAGGGAATATTCTCGACTTCAACCATGTGGTCGCGGGTGACATCTTGTGGATTCACATGTCATTCAAAAACATGCCAGGGTGTCCTGCCTTCAACCAGCGCAATCTGGACCTGGACTTGGCCCTCAAAGAGCTATAGTTCTTCGAGCTCATGGTCTAGAGCCCGGTGCGCCGCTGGCAAAACGGGGTGGCTGAGCGACGTCTGCCCTTCGCAATCGCTCTCGTTATTCACCGAGACAGGGGGTTTGCGGCAGCCAGATTATTCGATTCCAAGATGTCTTCCAGGAGGAGGAAAACCGTTCTCAAACTGTGCCCGTGCTTCTTCGCGGGAATGGGCACGTCGCCCAAAACTGTGCGGATCCTCGACGCGCTCCACTGGTGACGCCGCCCTTTCCACCCCTCACAAAAGTCGCAGTCCCTAACCAAGGTTCTGGCGCGACTGGTGCTTGGCGTCCAGCGGAACCTTGCGCGATAGACGTGATCGTAAAGGCTCCGGCAGTTGGCGGTCAAGTGCAGCGGGATGATCGGCCCGCTCCACTCCACCAGTCAGCAGCAGCAGATCCTTTGACCAAGCGGCTCAAGGCCGACGCGTGGTGGGAGACGATCCGCCGCGGGCATTTGAAATTCCCCTTTCGGCGAAGCATGCTGGATCTCTCACTAAGACAGAGGAAAGCGGAAGCAGTGTGAAAGTGCAACTTCCGTCGCCCAACGGTTCACGAGAGACCGTTTAACTTTTTTGTTTGACGCCCGTATAACCAATGAAGGAAAAGTCCTGTCACTGTGCTCCTGTGACTTGTTGCTGTCACTGAGTTACATTTTGCTGCGCTACTGTTGCCTACCTCCCTATAGTATCGATTTTGCCCTAAAGAGCTGTTACCGGGCGACGCTTACTTACTTATGCTATTACTGCTAGTTGCGTTGCCTGTGCAGTGCTGCTCTTACTGCTCACAACGTTACTGTTCCTGTGCTAGTGTTAGCTATGTTGTTTCTGCTTGCGCTAGTGCAACGATCGCGCTTGTTTCACGATCGTGTGTGTGTGTGTGTGTGTGTCTGTGTGCGCGCAATTGTTCCAAACGGCTCGTAGCGCGGGAATTTGCCAAGCGCGACGCAACATGAGTGACGCTGTTTGGTGAATATCCTTGCGACGTCACGGAACTCGATGGTGACGACGGTGATGACGATGACGATGATGTCCCAGATTTACTTCGACGAAGGAAGAACAGCGTACGAGGTGGTAGTTGTGAAAAATCAGGTGTCTTCTCGAAAAATTGGCCTGCGTAGAACTAGGTTGAGTTTGAAGCGCAACTAGGAGCGGTCCTCTTTGTCGTACTTCCCACCCGTTTGGATTGCAGGCAGCAGGGGTTGCAGAACTTGTTCGATTCAAGATTTCATTGGTTGCAAGAAGGTTGCATTTTGGCAGGCAAAGTCTTCGGCTTTGTTGGTGACTGGTTGCGGAAGGCCTTGCTGACCTTTATTTACAGCCGTGGAGCACAAACCATTGAAGCCATTATGCGACCACACATTCCGCGCATCACACGTTCGCTGCGTCGAAGACTCAGCCGCTTCTTGGCAGATGACCATGCGTTCTGTGGAGCATGGAGCCAAAGGTGGCTGCGTCTCTTTTCTGTCGGATTTTCTTGGTCTGTGTTGCAAAAACCAGTGACATCACTTCAATTTCTAGCTTGTTTTGTCTGGACAATTGAGCACATCGGTGGATCGTGTCTTGAAATTGCATTCAAACCGCTTATGGGTGTGTGAATCAACATTTTTGCAGTTTCTTTCCTTTGCTTCTTAGCGCTCAACTTCTGGGTAGTAGATTTGGCCGAGCTTGCTCAGCTGGTCTGCCTCCGATTTGCAGGAGTGCTCCATGTGGCAAGTTTGAAAGCCTTAGAGAGACACGGTGGAGGTTTATTTGACGATACAGCCCGGCCCCAAAGACATGGCCCTCCATGAGAGAGAAGCGCAAGCGAGCCCACAAGAAACGAGAACTCTTTCAAAACCATGTTGATCTGCGACCAGAGTTAGACATTGTGTTGCGAGTTCTGAGTTCATTCAGCTTGTCTTAGGAGACATCCTTTACAAAATGCGGCAGAGCCCCTGCTGCAAGCCTAGTTTCAGTTTCGGACCAATCAACGAGCAATTTTTGCCATCGCCCCAAGGGCTTACAAAAAGAAGCGCGTTCAAACAAGAAGCGAACTGCGCAAACAAACAGCTTGTAAAGGGTCACGGAAGCCTATGCGCCTCGAGTGACTCGCCTTGAGGCCTTTTGTGGTCGAGTGCCTGACGCATGGCTACCACCTGTGACTCGACGGAATTCTTTGACTCGACGCTGAACCAACGGTGCAAACGGCCTGTAACGAAATAGTCTGTTAGCCAGCCAGTGGCCGGTGCAGCGCGCCAGCATCAGCGTCGGGCATGGAATCGCGCAGTCACGCAAGCCATGGCCACTGCTCTTTTTGCATTGGCGACCCCAGCGCCTATAGCCTCTTTGCTGGCGCCGCAAAACTACAGAGCAAAGCTAGCTGCAAGCTTTAGAGCCACAAAACCTTGTGGAGCCAGCTTGCTGGCCAAAACCAAGTTTGCTTTGTTTTAGCCCCCGTCAGCCACCCTTGTCACCCTGCCTCAACGCAACCGGCCAGCTTGTTGTGGCCGCGCGCCACAAAACTAACTCCATCCTGCTGGGCCACTTGTCAAATTTGCGTTTGGCGCGGCGCCGAGGAGCTTCAAGTGTGGGCCCCTGCCCTTTCTCTTCAAGTCTAGGAACCACATGAATAGGATCGTGGGCTATCCTGCATCCAGGAACCAGTGGCGCCCTGGCCCTTCATAGCTCACTTTACCTAGTAGCTACGTTTCCGGGACTGTCAAGCAAACTAATCCTTTGGCTTTGCCGCAGAGCTGCTGCGCGGGCTGCAGTGGACGTGGCCTGGGCTTCCTTTGCAGTGGGGGCGTGGCTCCTGCGCGAGCTGCGCTGCTGACTCTGCTCGGCTGCGTGGCCGCGCGCTGCTGTCGCTTCTGCGTGGCGCGGGCGCCGTGTTTGCCTGGTCTATAAGCGCTGGCTGCAGGTGCCTCCGCGGCCCTGCAAGACGAGCCGCGATATTGAGCGACTGGCCGGAGGCAATGGCGCTGAGCAGCCTTCCATCGAGTTTGATGATCTTCACATCTTTCTAAAACTCCCGGGGCTACTACACCACACCGCTCTTCTGCCGTGGCGTCGTCAGTTCCCCCCGTCAAGGGTGTGTTGGAGGCCTTGGTTTTGTTCGCACTTGTCTTCTAGGCTTCACGATCGCACTTCCCGACTGTGCTTCCTTCAAGATCAGGAGGCCGAAGATGGGTCGTCGTCAAAACTCCACGCGAGTTGCTTCGACTATGAGGGGTGCCGTGTCCTGTCTGCTTGTCTCAGGCGCAGCTGGTTCGAGTTTGGAGAACATTATCAGCGACCACGCTTCATTTAAGACTTCTTGGTTCCCTCGTGTAGAGCTTTCCATTAGATTTCTGGTCTGGTGTGTCTTCAGACATGTGCTGCTTGACTCCAAGCTCTTCTTGGCATGAATGGAGCGCCCTGTGCTTTGAGATCTTCGAACGAGTGCGGAGCTACGCCAGAGACTCTGCGAGGCCAGCTGTTGTCAGTCGCGTTCAGTGGCGGGGTCGCTGGAACATTGGAGCGCGACGTGCAAGAAGTCGCAGCTCAATCCTGTCTGCAGCCTCAGTCCTGGGTCCCGCAATCCAGTGTTGGGCAGCTGGGTCGAAGTCTGAGCTTGATTCTTCAAAGCGCCTTTTTGTATGAGCGGGTCGAGTTTTGCAAAGCAGGAGGCCCGGAATGGGAGGGCGCAGAGCATGGGCCCTGATGTGGCTTTGCAGTAAGCCTGCGTTGGTTGGGCGCCGGAGACACTCTTCTGATTTCACATGCAATGGCGAAGCGCCTTGCGAAACGCGAGGAGGGGCAGCTACTTGAGCAGCAGTCACAGCAAACAAAGTCTGAGGGACGTTGATATTGCACTTTTACAAAACACTCCCTGTACGGCGCTGAGGTCCTGCACTTGTGGTCATTCGCAATTTCAAACGGCTGTATAGTCCCGACGACGACCCCATGGCCAACCAAACAAGCGTCTCGCTCACAAGGGCCGGTGTGCCAGCCCCGCAAAAAAAAGGAAAACGATACGCCCTTAGCCTTGTGAAGTCCAGCGCTTGTCACTTATCTCCCTTTTGTTTTTGTATTTGATGTTGGACAGGTCATCTTGGATGAACGAGCCACCGGGCAGCTTTGGAAGTTAAGCCCGTGGCCTCAGAACATCGCTGTGAAGAAGACGAACTCGATGACATTGAAGAAAACCCATATAGAAAAAGAAGTGGCGTGGTGAACGCCTAAGGCAGTGACCTGGTTCACTTGCCGAATTGCGATGGGGACACATGCGACGCAGTTTAGTTTTTGCGCAAGTACGCAACTCTTCACGACTTCAGATTCTCAGCCATTTCAGCTGATGATGGTATCGTTTCCAATGCAACTCATGGATGCATTCTTGGGACTCATCAAACCTGAGTATAATCCTTGATTCTGCAAACGAAACTTCTGGAGCTCCTAAGATGGGAGCTCAGACAGGTCCGGGTCGCGCAAGAAAAGTGCGGATTCTGAACGCCCAGTATTTCTGAACGCGCGTCTTTGTTTTGCTTTGAATTGGGAGTTGATCAAAAAACCCTGTGTAAGGCGTTTTGTACAAAGCAGCCTTTCAGATGTGTTTGAAACCATCCGCGAAAGATTCGCGAAAGTGTCAGTTTTTCGCGAAAGGTCGCGAAAGTTTCGCTAACGAGGCGTTGCCCTGTATTGGTAGCTGGCGCGAGGATTGGGTTGAGTTTTGCTTGACTCTATTCGCCTCACCCAGGACTTAGGATATTGTTTGTCGCACAGATGTCGCGCGCGCTGCAAACCCTGAGTATCTGTGCAACTCTTAATTTTGTGCTGAGGTCACGCTGCGAGATGTCAGTCCCTGTTTTGTGATACAAACGTATAGTTCCAGCTCACGTTATGTAACTAGACATGGATTTAGGACACTGCTTCGTGATGAGGCCTTTTTTCGACTAATGGCAATTCCAACATGAAACATCATTGATCAGCCACAAATTAATGAAGCGGGTTGTTTTGTCACCAAACAGGTTTACCTGTCAGGGGTTCTTACTCCTTTGAAAGGGTTGCGCGCCCGGGCCGCATGACTTTACATTTCTCAGGGTTTGCGATCCTTCCGCACCGCGATTGCTTTGACCGCATGATGTTACAGTTGTCTCCCACTACACTTGTCTCTTGTCTCCGGGTACACTCGGTGCTCTGGGCTGCGTGATTTTACACTTGTCTCCCGCTTGTCTTCCTTTGCTTCCTTGTCTCCAGTACACTCTGCTGCTCTGGCCGCGTGATTTTACACTTGTCTCCCGCTTGTCTCCCTTTTCTACCTTGTCTCCAGTACACTCTGTTGCTCTGGCCACGTGATTCTACACTTGTCTCCCACTTTTTCCTCTTGTCTCCACTGCGCTCTGAATGCTATGACCCCATGTTCCCCAAACAGGTAAACCTGTGAGGGGTTCTTACTCCTTTGAGAGGGTTGCGTGCCTGGGCCGCGTGGTTTTACATTTGTCTCCGCTTGCCTCTTTGCCTGCTCCATGCTTAAACACTCTTGGCCAAATGGTTTTATGCGTCCCACGGGTCTCCTTCCTTGTCTCCCTTCTTGTTACACTTGTCTCCACTGGCCTCAGACTACTCTGGATACATTATCATTGCGAGCTGGAACGGTTTGAGCCGTTTGACTGTTTGACAATTCGTCTCTGTGGACAAACTGTTTGGGGTCTACGCTGGTATATTTTTTTTCGTTGTTCGCAATTCTCTTCTCGATGTTTGTTTTAGTTTAACATGGTTTCTGGCTTCGCTTGAAATGTATAGCTTCATTTGGTGGCTTCGCAACTCCAAACTTCTAGACGTCACACTTTGTGTGTTGTTTTGACCGAACATGCTGACGCGTCAGCATGGAAACGCAAATATATAGCCCGAGACTTGATTATCGCGCAATGTTTGCGTAGTGCGACCGAAAACCTTGGTTTGTGGGGTGGCCCGCGGGGTGGAACTGTTCTGTGCGCGCCTTGTGTGGCGAGGGAGAAACTTCTCGCATTTTTCGCAGCGGGTTTGTCGCTCACCCAACGTGAGCTGTTCAGACTCTTTATGTTATCATTGTTGGTGCAATATCTGCCCGTGCTTGCATTCATTCATCGAACATACGTTGACGCGTAAAGGCTTCAAGATCGACTCTCATGTTGTCCTACTTAAGTTGCGATAAACGTTCAAGAAACCGAATGGGCCGGTGTCCATCAGTGACCGCAAAAGGAAACACAGCAGGTGTTTGGGTCCCATCAATAAGGTTTCTTTAGTGAAAACCACAGTTCACCAGAAAAATTCAATCACCTAGATCAGAGAAGGATTAGATCAGAGCAGGGTCGCATGAAATTTTATGTATTTTGCATTTTTCACATGTGTTTATCAATTTTTCCACATTTTTAATCATATTTTCACATTTTAAAACATTTTTTCACATGTTTTCATTTTATTTTTTGGTTTAAAAAAATTACTATTTTTTGGGAAAACACCTCAAACACAACATGGTTAATCAAATTGTGTTTCTTGGGGAGAAGTTATCCTAACAGCTGAACACAACTGACCGCAGCAGTCATATCACGCTCCAGTTTGCATGTGAAATTATGTTTATGCATTTTTTGCATATTTTTGCATATTTCTCATATTTTCTCATGCATTCCAAAACCTCTCCGGTGAAGGTTATTGAATTTTTTGGTGAAGTAACGAACAATTCTGTTTAGCGTGTTTCTCCCGTCGTCTTCGGCCAAAGCATCAAGCGCAGAAAGGGCAAAATGTTCACCATCTCAGCGGCCGACGGGATCAGTTCTGGCTCAAAGGAGGCTCGAAGAAGCCTTCGAAGAAGTCGAGAAGGAGAATAAACCACACGTGATAATCAAGCGGGGAACACCTTGGTTTAGGAGGCTTTTGAGAGGTGATGGAATTTGGCGAGTTCCTTTTGTGCGAACAAAGTGGACTTGTGTTTTCTTTTCCAAAATCGCAACTCTCTATACCCTATTTACTATTTCTTTTGCCGGAGTCGGTCGACCAAACTGTGAGGATGAGGGCTGTGCTTGCTCTCCTTGCAGCATCATGGGCGCACGATCTGGAGGAGGTCTGGAGGATGCTATACAATCACGAACATCGCCGAGTGACGCCCAATGTTTTTTCAGCGGCACTGTTTTTTGTTTTCACTTGTTTTCCTCTAGGAGGTCCTAATCCTGCCTGGCCACCTTCATGTTGCAACGTTGCCAAATGTCAAGAAACTATCGTCGGTGGAAAAACTCTATTGCCATCCCAAACATTCCACGCATGGCATTTCTTGGGGTGATTTCAGTGGTCAATGTAGACACACGCATAGATACATGTTTGGGATGTTTTTTCCACGCGCCGATTTTTCTTATTTTTGGAATGTTTTGGGCTTGGATTCCAAAAATTGATCAAAGCTTCCAGCAAATGGTTCGACGCTGAAATTTGTGAGTTTGCAGGTGGTTTTTGATGATGACGGCGGAGGCGCGTGGCTGAGATTTGATACGCGCAAGACATTGTGAAGATAGTGTCTCTTGGGCCCAATTTGCTAGGTTTGAATTTGCTTCAGAGGAAGGACAGGGCAGTGCAGGACTCGATGGACACGATCAAGAAAGTGTACGTAGGCAGTCAGTCAGATCAGCTTGCATAGAAACAGTGAGACAGGAGCTCAACGAAAGCTCAACGTGGCAAGGTGCTCGAGAGACAGGCTGAGAGAAGGATTTCGATTTTGACATTTTTTTTATCTTGATCGGGCCAGACATTCGAATCTGTCTCTTCTTGTTATCTGACTGCGGCGAAGCGGCGTGAGCTAGGGCCGCAAGTGTAAAACAGTGTAAATGCGAATGGAGGTAGAAAGCACTCAGCCATGTGCAGGTATAGATCACCATAAGTGACACACACACACAAATCGAGAAGCGTAATCTGAAGGCCGTCATTTCCAGATCAGAAAAGGATCCGCATGGTAGCGGAGCTGGTGAACCTCATTGCTTGGCTCTGAGGAGAGGCTCCAGGGATCGGTCCGCTCGCCCGCACCGGTGCCATAGGTTCCTGGCTAGTGTTGGACGGAGATCCAGCAGAGCTCGCAATCAGCGCAAGTGTTCTTTTTGAGCTACACGTTTGTCCCTTTGCTTTGCCCGTGATCCATACATCGATTTGAAGTTCATCGCTTTGGAGGCCATCAAGGGTGAGCTCAAGCAGGATGGCTGGCTTAGAAGGTTCACCAGTCGGTGGATCACGCACTGGGAGCATTGGAGGTGGAGCCGTGGACGGGGCTGAGATTGCGAGGCGCATGGTGCAAGCAGTCAAAGCGGCTGGAGCAGCTGCCAGGGCTGCAGTTGATGCAGTCTCAAAGAAGCCTGAAGATCGGAATTGGTTCCGTATCCTCCCAAAACCTCCCAACTTTGACCCCAAGTCCAGGGAGGAGGAGATCTCCCAATGAATGGACTTCTCATGGAGCTTAGAGCAATACCTTTCATCCCTGGGCGCCAGCCACATCGACGACGTCAAGAAGATCAGAGCCAATCCAGAAAGGGAGATTGCAGTGGATCTTCAAAGTGATGAAGAGCGACATCGAAGCAGCTTCCTGTATGCCTTCCTCGCACCACTTCTGCGCTACAGGCCTCTCTCGGTGAGCAAACAGGTGATGGAATCAAACGGCATAGAGGCCTATCGATTGCTGGTCCAGAGTCTTGAGCCAACCAGCAAGAAGCGTCCTTAGGGCTGTTGACGATGATATTAGAATTAATGGGGCCAGCGAGACATGAGAAAGGGCAGCATTTTGAATCAGTTGCTCAAGCTCGAGGAGGCCTATGCTGAATACGAGAAAACAGGAGCTCGACTGGACGAGACCATCAAGTTCGCCACCCTCATGCGTTGTGTCCGTGGCCAACTGAAAACCTGGCTTCAATCGCAGGTGGCGGAGACCCAGAGCTACAGTCGGTTGAGGGAGGCAATCGTCCAGTACAACCATGCTACCACCAAGTGGTCCATTTCCATGGTCCTTGGACAAGATCCTGATGGCCTTGCCCTCATGGAGATCGACCGCGTTGCTGACAAGGGCAAGGCAAGTCCAAGCAAGGGTGAGAACATTTTGATAATGACCATCCTGACAAAGGACACCCTCACCACTAAGAAGATGGGATTTGAGGTCGACGCCGGAATGGACTTAGCGGCCCAAGCAGTGGAAAGGAGAGATGTGGAGCTGCCAGTGGGGGCTGGCAGAGGTGTCTGAGAATGGAAGGCGTCTGGTGGCAGGAGGAGCCATGCCTGGCAGCTTGCTGGTGAATGGC